GAGTTGAAAACTTTTTAGTTATGTGTGGCGCTGGTCTGAGATTCGTAATAGACGTCTTTCCAAATTTTTCAGTCTCGACGAATCTCGCTGAGATTACGGTGAACTAAACCTAAGTGCTTTTACTTTTCTTAGAATTAAAATTAGATAAGAATTGCACTTAGAATTTTTATGAATATGACTTTAATGAATATGATTTAAGAATTTCTTCTTAGCTGATATTTTGTTTATACTTAAATGTGAATCTTAGCACAAATCTTAAGTATTTTTATGAATCCCAGCCCTGATGAACAGACAGGATGTCGAAAACCTATTCTACGAGAAGTTTCTGATAAGTATTATATTCCAGGAATGCCTAGTGTGTAAGGGTAGCAAAAACAAATGATGTTCATTGGATGAAAGAAACAGATTTGAGTAAACGAAATAAAAAAAAAAAAAAGAATGAATTTTACATGTCTTGCAGAAATATAAAGATTTGAACAGGTACAAATAAACTTTTTTTTATTAATAATATTTATTGACCTCTGAGGTAAGGGGGTTATCATTCATTCAAGATGAACTTCAAATTGTCAGCCCTTGTACGTTTTAAATGTTCATAACTCAGAATTATGCACACAACAAAGAATCATAAGCATTGAAGACATTCAGAGTGCCGAGTATAGGTATAAATTTGTAGCCCTCCACCGGCAAGTGGCGTCTCCATATGAGTGAAAAATTCTCGAGAGGGACGTTAAACAACAAACAAACAAAATGCAGATGCACAAGGTATTTTGAATTAAAGGCAAACAAAGTAAAAATTTTAATATGCAAGAATATTTTTACCAGATTTTTAAACATCTGGACCATTTGGTCAAGTGTTCTGGTCCTGGCCAGGGCTTTATTAATTTGTATTCTACTGAGAGAAGTTATTCCCCTTTGGAATTCACTTTTGATGATTAATCACTGTAAATAATGTATTCAAAAAGTTAAAAGAATAGAGAATTATGTAAAAAAAATTATTGTATAATACAAAAACTACTTTCATAGTTTTAATGATCAGATAGACTTGTAAATGATGGAATAATAAAAAATGAGACAAAAATAACTGTTTAAAATAGTCTGCAAAGACTAGAAGGCAGTGTGAGAGATTACAAGTTGGGGTAAAAAATATTAAAGAAGCACTAATAGTTTGTTAATAATCTCCATGGTGAAAGTGATAAATTGGGGACAGATTAGAACATAATTTATGAATTGTTACTAGATATTAGACTAATTATTTCATTGATCCTGATCATCCTATTTCTCTTGCTTTTTGACAACAAAGCTTCATCAGTTTATTTTATATGCTATGGATCCTCTAAGTTGTTGTATTATACTCAGGTGACCGTTAAGGCCCTTAGACCTTGTTTTTTATTTAAAGGTAATTTCTAACATGCTGAAATATCCTGTATTTCAATTCGTTATTATTTTACAATTTTATATTTTTTTTCCAGTGGATGTTACAAGTCAACGCAGTTCTTTTGGTAAAAGATGCATTGAAAACACCAGCAGAGAGAAAATAGAGAGGGACATGAAGAGGCCATGTTGTCCATCAAGGTGTATTGAAAATGTTCCATCAGATGTGTTTCGTGGATTGAGGGAACAATTTTGGAGCTTGCAATTGGTGGCTGCAGAACAAAACAGGGAAATTGTGAATCATGGCAGTGCTGTATCATCAGAAAAGTGTGTTCTGGCTGGACGCTTTGTGTGTACTGAATGCTTAGTTCATGGAGTATCCAGATCAAAGTAAATTATTTTTTTGTCTTTATAACAATACATCTGGGCTCCAAATTAATTGTTTGTGCTATTTAATATAACATTAGCATTAAAAAAGTAATTTGTTGAGACTGCTGAATCACTTAGATAACATATCCCTGGTATTTGAAATATTAGTTTTTGAGATATTGGGATTTTATTGTTATACCTGCTTGTTAGTTTTAAGACTTAGACATCATGAAAACTTAACATCAATTTCTTTCTTTAGATATTGTGAACAGAAGATATCATCATCACCCCCAGCAGATGGTAGAAAAGGGATGAAGTATGGCCACCAACGGCACTCCGAGTTGGCAAATTACTTGGAAAGTTTAGGCGGGAAGCAAGGAGAGAAGCTCCCGGACAAACAGAAAATCACCCTTCCCACTTGCCCGACTCAGAAGAACACTTACGAGGAGTATGTTGCCAGCCACTCCAATCCATACTGTTTTAGGCATTTCCAGAGGGTCTGGAAGGAAAGGTTTCCAGACATGCAAGCATCAGAAGTAAGTTCCTTCAACATCTTGGTTTACTTATGTTGTGATTTTAAAAAATATTCTTGAGAAAATATTCAAAATAATGTTGGATGAAATTATACAGTTAATGTATATCATTGAGGGAGTTGGAAAGATTCAAGTTCCCCACGGCCAGGATTATTTCCTGAAACACAGCCTAGGGGAAATAGCCGAGGGGGGCTCGAATCTTGCTAACTGTTTTATTATATCAATACAAAAGTAAAAAAAAAGAGGATTCTGGATAACTGGGGATTAGTCCATCAACATACTATACCGATAGAAAAGTAAAATCTAGATCTAGAGGATTATGGATAACCAGGAATTAGCTTCTGAAGCAGGAATTAGCTCATTTGACTAATGCATTGGGATAAGTCCATTTACAGCGAATTCAAGGTAAAACTCACATTCAGTAACCAAATTTTTATACAGGGGAGAATTAGTAGAGGTATTATTATAATAATGTTTACAAAATATTTCAGAAGTAAGAATAATGATGGCAAAAATGTCTGTATGATGATCACCAAGCAAAGGAATGATACCATAGTTTTTATCAATACTGTTATGATCAGATTTACTTATGAATATCATCAATTTCAGAAAACCACCTTCACTGAGTGCGAAGAATGGCAATTATTCGCCAATTAAAGTCGCAACGACTGTCAAAGGAGCAGCTCCTCAAAGTTGAAGACCAGAAAAGGGCACATTTGCTAGTGGCCAGGTACAATTTACTTAAAATTTTAAAGACAACTTGAACTATTTTGTATATGTTAAGTTTGAAACAGTTGGATATTTAAAAAAATATTTTGCAAAGTTAAACTATTAAATACTGAATTCTGAATTTTCTATTTTTCAATAATCTTTCGTATTGTATACTCTACATATCATGATTTAAGTAATGCGTCCCATCAAAAACATTTCTTGATAACAGATGCAATCAGATGAAGGAATACAAATTCTTATGAATTAATATGTTGTAGGATTGCCAGAGAGAAATATTACAAGCATTGTGAAAAGGCATTGGACCAGCCAGAAAAATATTTGTCGATGATCATCGACAACATTTACCAAGCTAAAACTAATCTCCCAAGATTTCGGCCCAACATACCATAAGATAAACAGTTTCCTATTCTTCGCTATCATTTTTATCTCCCCCTCTCCAAATAAAGATGTTATTTGTTTGAATTACTTTTTTATTTGAGCTCAGAGGGGGAGAGGAACGGGGTAATAATGAAATCATCATCTTCCTTGATGAGTTTTCATAAAATACAGCTGTCAAAGACATTACAAATGAATATATCTAAAACTAAATAGGTGAAAACCCAAGCAAATAGTAACATTAAGAATTATTCTTCTGTGCAGGGAGATGCCACCCTGACAAGGGTACACCACCATGTGACTGGTGTCCTAGCTCATGGACAGAAAGCACTGAATGTCTTCACATGGACAGATAAGTTTGCTTGCGACAGCAACGTTACCATAAACTGCTTACTGAAGGTTCTTGAGGATGTTTCTACGGTATGTGAACAGGAATCTCTTTACCCAAAGAAATGTATACTAGCTCTGACGAGCATTACAATTTTGAATCGGGAAATAATTAACCAAAATTAGTTGGAGTTAATTAGTTTATATTGACAATCATCAATTTATATTCATTTTACTACTAACAATAAACATTTACATTATCCTCCTCCAATAGCAAAAGAAAATATTTATGCATTGACAAATCATTTCTCATTTCAGAACAAGTCACTTCCACCAACGTTGTACCTTCAAGCAGACAATTCTGCGAAGGACAACAAGAATTATGTCTTGATGGGATTCCTTGCAAAACTTGTGCAACGAGGCATATTTAAGAATATTTCCATTTCTTTTTTTTCTGTGTGATAACTCTGTGAAAGTTAGTTGAGTTGATTTCTTGATCATTCTACCGGAATGTAAATTTCGCCAAGCAATAGTTTAGGAGCTCAGGTGGCCTAATATGCATGTAAATCTCGTGCGTCTGTCTTTGTGTTTGACGTCAGTGGGCGGGGACTATTGAAATTGACATAGGAGGCCTCGTGTAATTTAAATTTCACAATGAAATGGAAATATAAGGAATCACTCTCTAGTTAGTGAATATGCCAGGGACATCAACGATAGTTGGAAACGTGGGATAATTTATGCATAACGGGCTTCGCCCGTTATGCAAATTATCCCACGTTTCCAACTATCGTTGATGCCCTGTCATACTCTACTAACTAGACAGTGATTCCTTAAAGGTAAGAAACTAATTTATAGACCTAGTAGAATGACAAGTTTATATCTTTTAATTTCATATTATGTTTTGAATCTAAAGGAAATGAAAAGTAAAAAGCTGTAATGTTAATACATTGAAAACAAGTTTCTAATAAACATGTTTTAATGTGCACTAAGGTGTAAAATTGATAAATATTTATATCCTTAAAGCAGTCTGTAATTTTTAACCCAAAGACTTAATAATTAATTATTAAGCGTTTAATCCTGAATTAATCAGTTGGTGGAAATGTAATTGTATCTACAAGTAAAATTGTTTTTCATTGTAGTATTTTGCACATCTTATGTCAGTATGAGAATAAAGTTTGTCATTGTCAATTGTATATGCTTAAATTAGAAAAGAAAAGAATGTTTAAGGTTCTATCTAAATAGGTATATCAGTGTTAATTTTCTTTTACTTCCTTTCAGATCAAGTTATCTTTTCTCATGGTGCGCCATACCCATGAAGATGTTGACCAGATGTTCTCCAGATTGTCTGTACATTTATCTAGGATGGCAGTACCAACTCTCTCAAGACTCCAGGAATTGGTGCAGGAAGCATACAGTCCTATACCAACAGTACACCACCTTGACAATCTTTGGGATTACAGGCAGCTGGGGATCCAGGCACCTGTCTATTTGAATGGCCACAGCACCCCCCCCCCCCCCCCCCACACACACACTTTTAGATTTACAAAGGTCAGAGATGATGTCCAGATGTCGTATAAGGAATGGCCACTGAAGTCCACCGCCTACCAATCGATTACAGTCAATGACCTGGCTAAGGCATTTGATGGTGAACCATATCCCATTCAGCAAGTCACAGACAAAGGGGAGAGGGTGTTTGTTGCGATGGAAGAAGATCTGAGGAAATGGAGAGATGGTGGAAAGCTCAGTGATGGCCATGTGAGCTGGTGGCGGGAACACCTTCAGAGGGAAAGAAGATTTCCTATCCCAAGGATCCCAAGGATCCCAAGGGCCAGCTCCTTTGAACCTCATTTGAGAGTCTACGAGAACACTGTTTCACTGCCTGCTATAGAGGTTCTAGACAACCATATTTCCAGTTTCAGGAAACAGCTGTCACAGGTATGTTAGTTGTGTTTTTCGTTCTTATTATGTAGTTTGTTTGGGTATATGGATAATTCAGTTCTTACAACCAGCATTTAAGTATCATTGCAAGGTAATGATTAATTTTATCTAAAATGATCTCATTAAATTTAGAAAAGAAAGAGAAAATAACTTGCATAATTGTCTGCATCACACATTTTGCTTCAGGCTTGATGAAGGAAAAATGAAAAGAGGCCAACTTTAATATGTTCAGTTAGAGCTGAATGAAAGAAATATCTTCATTTTTATTAATTTGTTTTTCTTACATTTGTAGAAAAAAGTTTTGAAGAGACGAAGATGAAGATCAAGCGTTATCGTGCCATGAGGCTGATTGTGAACAATTAGCTCTGAGACAAGAAATGGCTTTCTTAAGATACTTATTTAAGAAAAACGTTGTTAAAATTTTTGTCAACTTTTGATTGAAAACTTTTTGAAAATGAATTGATGTTAAATATTTTTGCATAAGTTGTTGAATATAACAATACATCTCTTGTATATATCTTATATATATTTAAGTGTATATTGAACATGCATTTATAAAGAGGGAAAAAGGGGGAAGGATCTCCTTGAGATTTTCAGTCATTATGTTTAAGCAACAACAGATGACCTTTGACACCCCTTTCACTATTTTTTCAGGGCTCTTCTAAAATATAATTTGTATTGCTATGCAAGTTAAATATTTTTTAGTCAAATTTTCATTCTATACATGAACTCCATCTCTTTTAAATTCCTAGATTTGTCATTGTTGAAATAAATCATTAACATTAGCTGGAAAGAGATCCGATGTAAATAGCCTATTTGTGTCCCTTAGCTTGATCATAATGAATGGTAGAATTGCATGATTATACTAAAAAGGCTAATGAATGTTCTGTATAATTTAATTTTTTAAATAATATAATTTTGTATGTCAGCTGAAGATCTGAAAATTTGTATTTTGAGAATCAAATCTACTTCATGGCATTATACAACCTATTACATGTATACTGATTTAAGCCGGTTATAAGCTACTGAAAGAAAAATTGATAACTTAGTATTATCAGCTCCTTCAATCACTATACATATGAACATACAAATGTTAAGGTTTTCCACGAAAAAGTACATGCTTTTCAAGCATATTTTGAAGTTGCAAATATATGATAGATATGTGAGGAAAATGGCATGAAGATATTTCCAAGCTCACCTGAGGCAAAAGCTTAAGTGAACTTTACCGATTGAAGGTTTTTTGCATCCCTTTGTTGTCTGTACACTTTTCAAATTCTTCTCATGAATCATTATGGCCAATCTTGCCACAAGGCTTCCTTAGGTGAAGGAGATTCAAGTTTGTTAAGAGGAAGGGTCGCACTCTTTTTCAAGGGAGATAATTAAGAATTGGTGGAAAAAATAATGTCATCTTTTAAAATCTCATCATGCAACCATGTATTGGGCCAGAAAATATGATACTTATATGTAAGCTTTATTAATAATGTAGGTTTAAGTTTGTGCAAATCATGATCCCCAGGAGTAGAGTGGGACAAGAATTGGCAATCAAAGTTATACATGGGAATTTAAAGGATGAATCTTTAATTAGAACAACAAAGCCATATAATTAGGCATATTTATATGGAAGCTTCCTCAGGTAGTGTTAATTCAACAGCACAACTGACATTCAAATTTAGGAAAAATCTTTTTTAAAAACAAAAAAGCCATGGTTAGTTATGCTCACATGGAACCATCCTAAGGCAGTGTCAATTTACTTTTGTTTAAGTCAAGATTCCCTCCCCTGCCCCTTATATTAGTCTTGGTGGCGAGGGGGGACCACATATATTTAAACTTTTCAATACTGCATTGATTTCTGCTTTTCTCCGACCAATGCAATGTGAGCGATGTGGCCCATAGAGCTCTCATCATCAAAAGGCAAATATGCAAGGTCATTGTAGATCTAATTTGTACATTTTTAGAGCTATAACATTCCCTGGCATTCATGATACAGTGTATACTTGATTCAGATGCCTTTTTTTCAAGAAATTGCTATCCAGTGAGAATCCAGTATGTCATTCCTATGACCTGTTCTCATTCATGTTTTGTAATAATTACACTGTGGACTCTAATGTGTTCCATCAGACATCCTAAAAAATGTTTTATCATTGTGATAAAAAGATGCATGGCTCCAATTATTTGATTTGCAGACGCATTTGAAACCCCCTCATGATATATAATATTCCTGAATTACACATAGTTGAGAACGTTTTATATTTCATTAAACATTCTGAATGAATAAGGACCGTTTTCCATTGTAGCTGACATAAACATTTTATTTTTGAATATATCATTTTTTATAGTTGAATTTTATTGTCACTACCTTAAAAACTAAGATTGAAACATATGATTTTTTTGTATTTTAAACTTTTGTTACAAATGATGCATCTTTGTTTGTTAAATATGTTACATGTGTCTCTGTGGTGATTTGAAATCAATGATATTCTATTTAATATCATAAATTTTAAAATTCAATGAAATAATTATTTGATTGGTTATTTTTTTAAAGATATTTCATTTAAATTGACTCAGATAATCTACAGGAGCATTATCTGTGAAAGTGATGGCAAACTAATTTTTTTTTCTTCAAAACCTCCAAATTGCAAGGGAATATAAATGTTAAAATTGCTGACTGCATTTAGTTAAGGCCATCTTTGAAAAATTGTTTGGTTGCTCTCTTCTGATCGACTGACTAAAAATGACCCAATTCAAACCTTTTTTAACCTCCAGGAAGCAAAATAATTGTTGCATTCTGGAAAATTTTGATAGATTTTGAAAATTCAGCATCGATGTTGAAGTTTTCTAGGAAAAAAAACTTTTTCAACTATCTACTGACCCACTTTTTTCATCATAAGTTTTGAGAGGGCAATCAAACATTATTGAAAGCTGGCCTAACCTAATTTAACTGCTCTAGATTAATGAAAAGCTCGATGCATAAAACTGCGGGGAAAAAATCATAAATTAAACAAGATGTGTTTGTGAAACACTGATGCCCCCGTATGGCAGCTTATGGCGAAGGTTAAAGTTCCTTAAATGCAAGTCAAAATCCAGGCCAAAAGATAAACAATGTTGGTATTCAAAGAAAGGCCTTGTCTCGAGGAATTTACCTGTGAAATTTGAAAGCCCTAGCTGCAACTGTTCAAAAGTTATGATGAAGGTTAAAGTCTTTTAAAAGTTAGTAAAATGTCAAGGTCAAGGTCAAAATTGTTGGTATCTAAAGGAAGGTCTTGTCACAAGAATTACATATGTGAAGTATGAAAGCCCTAGCACCAACCATTCAAAAGTTATGGCCAAGGTTAAAGTTTTTTGAAAATAGGTCAAATCCTATGTCAAGGTCAAAGTGGTTGGTATCCAAAGGAAGGTCTTGTCACAAGGATTTCATATGTGAAGTATGAAAGCCCTAGCATCAACCATTCAAAAGTGTTGGCCAAGGTTAAAATTTTTCAAAAGTAGTTCAAACTCCTATGTCAAGGTCAAAGGGTCAAAGAGGTTGAAATCCAAAGGAAGGTCTTGTCACAGGGAAAACACATGTGAAGTTTGAAACCACAAGCACCAACTGTTCAAAAGTTATGGCCAAGGTTAAAGTCTCATAAAATTTTGCAAAAGTGGGTCAAACTCCAAGGTCAAAAGGTCAAATATGATGGTATCCAAAGAATGGTCTTGTCACGAGGAATACACATATGAAATATGAAAGTCATGGCTCCAACCAATCAAAAGTTATGGGTAAGGTTAAAGTTGACAACAGACAGACAAACAAACAAGCAGACAAACGGACAAACAGACAGACAGGACCAAAACAATATACCCCCGGGATCTTTCGATCCGGGGGCATAAATATGGTCCAGTAGTTTAAATTGGCTCAAAATTGTTTTTACACACATTCCATTCTTTTTCAGAGTTGAGCAGTTAAGAGCTTTGTATTGATAAGTATCCTTCAGCACAATATTTCGATTTTATATGACATAATTAGATATTAATAGAAATGTAATTTTACTCTTCAGCAAGCATGAAAATACACTGTTTACATGTACTAAATACATAATGTATTTAAAAAAAAACTTTCTTCATTATTGTTTGCATTCAGTGGTATTTTTACCCGTATTAATATTCACAGCATTAAAACAAAATATTTTAGTTTCTTCTCAATTTGTATCCGTGCATAACTTTTTGTTCCGATCGGGTTCGAAATTCAAAAAATGGAGACATGTGGCTGTGGTCAAGCCTGGACAGCATGAACTAGCATTTCTACTGACCACTAGGGGGAGGCAAAGAACGATAACTCCAAATCAGCGGAAGTTGTCTCCTGAAGAGTGTGTCCGTGCAATCAGAAATACGCGCCACTTCGTTGTTCGTGTTTTGTAAAACAGGACGTTATCTGGTATATGACATTGTCTTTATAAGTGAAATTAATTTTCTGTAGGTATTTTGTGTTATAATTCTATTATATTTTTACCGTTTATTTCATTAGATTAAATGTAAATTAATTTTTAAAATACGTGTCTAAAATGCAGGAGACAAGAAAATATTTATTTGCACATGTTCTTCTGCTTGCTTCAACTTGCATCATCCATTAATAATTAGGGAAATGTTTACAAAGGTTATGTGAAAAATCACAAGTTATATAAATGAAGCAATTTTTGTCACTATTTTTTTTTGAAATATTGAAGTGGTTTTTTGTTGTTATAATTACCCCCCTTTGCAATCAGCTGTTTATAGTTTGTTTCAATTATATCACATGTAATTTTGACATGCAAGTGTAGAAAAATTGGTACAATACATATATATATATGTAATTAATATATTTCTAATCTGAGTTACATTAATAGTATTGATATTTGTAACAATTGTTATCATATAGCAATTATAGTTAAAACACTAGAAACTCATTACTAGTAATGAGAAGGTCTTCCGTTATACTACTTCCTGTTTGCATCAACATGTCTTTTCCAACGTCGGTATTAGCC